CCAGCTGAAGGACGTGTGTAGCAGTGGATGCCAGTGTGCTCCAGGTGAGTCGGTGTCAGTCATTGTGAGTCGATTGTGTGACTTAGTGTGGGTCATTGTGAGTGGGCAGGGTGACTCAATATCACACCTTTATCAGGAAGGCGTACAGTCAGCAATATCACACCTTTATCAGGAAGGCATATGTCAGCAATATCACACCTTTATCAGGAAGGCGTAAAGTCAGCAATATCACACCTTTATCAGGAAGGCGTAAAGTCAGCAATATCACACCTTTATAAGGAAGGCGTACAGTCAGCAATATCATACCTTTATCCTGAAGGCGTACAGTCAGCAATATCACACCTTTATAAGGTACACGTACACTCAGCAATATCACATCTTTATCAGGAAGGTGTACAGTCAGCAATAACACACCTTTATAAGGTAGGCATACAGTCAGCAATATCACACCTTTATCAGGAAGGCGTATGTCAGCAATATCACACCTTTATAAGGAAGGCGTAAAGTCAGCAATATCACACCTTTATCAGGAAGGCGTAAAGTCAGCAATATCAAACCTTTATCAGGGAGGCGTACAGTCAGCAATATCACACCTTTATCAGGACGAAGTACAGTGGGCAATATCACACCTTTATCAGGTAGGCATACAGTCAGCAATATCACACCTTTATCAGGAACACGTACAGTCAGCAATATCAAAGGTGTATTAGAAGACGCATAGTCAGCAATATCGCACCTGTATCAGTGACACGTACAGCCGGCAATACCACAGCTGTATCAGGAAGACGAACAGTCCGCAATATCACAGTTGTATTAGGAGTAGGGTACTGTCGGCAATATCACAGCTATATCAGAAGACGTACAGTCGGCAATATAACAGCTGTATCAGGAACATGTACAGTCAGCAATATCACAGCTGTATGAGGAACACGATCAGTCGGCAATATCACATCTGTATCAGGAACACGTACCGTCTGCAATATCACATCTGTATCAGGAACACGTACCGTCTGCAATATCACATCTGTATCAGGAACACGTACAGTCTGCAATATCACAGCTGTATCAGGAACACGTACAGTCAGCAATATCGCAGTTGTATCTGGAACACTTATAGTCGTCAATATCACAGTTGTATCAGGAACACGTACAGTCGGAAATACCACAGCTGTATCAGGGAGACGTACCTTCGGCAATACCACAGCTGTAGCAGAAGACGTACAGTCGGCAATATCACAGTTGTATCAGGAACACGTACCGTCTGCAGTATCACAGCTCTATCAGGAACACGTACAGTCTGCAATATCACAGCTGCATCAGGAACACGTACAGTCGGCAATGTCACAGCTGTATCAGGAACACGTACATTCGGCAATATCACAGTTCTATCAGGAACACGTACAGTCGGGAATATCACAGCTGAATCAGGAACACTTACAGTCAGCAATATCGCAGTTGTATCTGGAACACTTATAGTCGTCAATATCACAGTTGTATCAGGAACACGTACAGTCGGGAATACCACAGCTGTATCAGGGAGACGTACCTTCGGCAATACCACAGCTGTAGCAGAAGACGTACAGTCGGCAATATCACAGTTGTATCAGGAACACGTACCGTCTGCAGTATCACAGCTCTATCAGGAACACGTACAGTCTGCAATATCACAGCTGTATCAGGAACACGTACAGTCGGCAATATCACAGCTGTATCAGGAACACGTACATTCGGCAATATCACAGTTCTATCAGGAACACGTACAGTCGGGAATATCACAGCTGAATCCGGAACACTTATAGTCGGCAATATCACAGTTGTATCAGGAACACGTGTAGTCGGCAATATCACAGCAGTATCAGTCAGACGTACAGACAGCAATAACACACCTGTATCAGAAGACGTACAGCCAGCAATATCACACCTGTATCAATAACACGTACAGTCGGCAATATCACACCCGTATCAGGAACACGTATAGTCAGCAATATCACACCTGTATCAATAACACGTACAGTCAGCAATATCACAGCTGTATCAGGAAGACGGACAGTCCGCAATATCACAGCTGTATTGGGAGTGGGGTACAGTCGACAATATCACAGATATATCAGAAGACGTACAGTCTGCAATATAACAGCTGTATGAGGAACATGTACAGTCAGCAATATCGCAGCTGTATCAGAAGACGTACCGCCATCAATATCTCAGCTGTATCAGGAACACGTACCTTCGGCAATATCACACCTGTAGCAGAAGACGTAGAGTCGACAATATCACACCTGTATCAGAAGACGTACAGTCTGCAATACCACAGCTGTATCAGGAACACGTACAGTCAGCAATATCGCAGCTGTATCAGAAGACGTACCGCCATCAATATCTCAGCTGTATCAGGAACACGTACCTTCGGCAATATCACACCTGTAGCAGAAGACGTAGAGTCGACAATATCACACCTGTATCAGAAGACGTACAGTCGGCAATATTACAGCATTAACACGTCCGGCTGATTTCCTCAACATTAAATCTGCATCAGAAAGACGTGCAATCGCCATTATCACTGAATTATAATGTCGACCTGTAAACAGCAATATTAGATCTGTACTAAGTGACATGCATTCAGTAATCACACAGCTGCATCACTTCGAAAATAACAGTTGTGATGTCATATAAAATACTATCACTGTTCTAGAAGGTCATAGTGATTTGTGTTTCAAAAGAATGTTTCGTCCTTTGTAATACTTAAGATCAGACACTGGTTATCAATGCACCTTATGATGTTATATCGGTGTCATTAATGCTAGTGTACACGCCTTTATTCTGTGTTGCAGGGTTGATCTGTTACACGCCAATCACTGGCGCGTGCTGTCCCTCCGACCGCTGTGAGACACAGGAGTATGTGAACCAGATGAAGAAATACTGGAATAACTGCGCCCCACCCATGTGCTTTTATCCAGTTCGAAAATAAATCCCAATGATAAAAGCTGTGCTGCACTTATTTCAATGTATTTCTTGGCCATGGTATATTTTAAATGATAAAATGTGTGGACAGTGGTGAGCAACGCGGACAGAGTTTCAGATTTCGCAACATCCACAACAGCGTGTAAACGACCTTGGCCTAACAGGATGGTTCCGGACAGAAGTGCAATTGCTTCTGCTCAGTGCCTCATGCTTGTCTTGAGTGCCTCATGTCTGTCCCCAGTGCCTCATGCTTGTCTTGAGTGCCTCATGTCTGTCCCCAGTGCCTCATGCTTGTCTTTAGTGCCTCACGTCTGTCCCCAGTGCATTATGCTTTTTCACAGGGAATCCAGTATTTTATGCTTGTTCCCGGTAAATCTGGGTCCTGGTTCCCCATGCTTGTCTCCTGTGCCTCATTTTTACAGCTAGTACCTCATACGTGTCTCCTGTGCATCATCCTTACAGCTAGTACCTCATGCGTGTCTCCTGTGCATCATCCTTACAGCTAGTGCCTCATGCATGTCCGTAGTAAATCCTGTGCCATCTGCTTGACTCCAATGCCCCATGTTTATCCCCAATGCCCCATGCTTGAGTCCAATGCCCCACGCTTGTGCCCAATGCCCCATGTTGTGCCCAATGCCCCTCGCTTGTGCCCAATGCCCCATGCTTATCCCCAGTGCCCCCTGCTTATCCCCAGTGCCCCATGCTTGTGCCCAATGCCTATTGCTTATACCAAGCAACCTTATGCTTGTCCTACGTACCTTATGCATGTTCCCAGTAAATATTGCTTCATGTTAGTCCCAAGTGCACCATGCCTATCCTTAGTACCTCATGGTTAGCCAAACAACCAACTGAAATGGAGACCAATAGACACTTGTCTGTGTCTGTTTTCATAAAGCATCTACTAGCCCGAATGGAGACATGCATGCAATTGCATATTTTGGTTTCCTTGCATAGAAATTGACAATAACGCAATGATACCGTAAATGTGGTGATCATAGAGTTTCATAACTCGTTTACCATGGTAACTGATAAGTCGTAATCTAGGTGTCTAGATGTGTACAGGGAAATAAGATGTCCGGTAAAGTAGGGCGCTACAATCCAACTATACCAAATCGCTGATGTTCCGTTACATGTGTAGATGCGCCCGGATTAATGAGGTCTTTACTCCAGACATTTCAATGTACGCCCAACAGGATACTGGGGGGAATGACTTGTTGGTTCATGTCTTGCTCTTCAGGCCTAAGCCCGAGTTTTAAACACCAGTACTTGTCAAACATTAATAACATTTTAAAACAAAGTAGGTAACAACTCATATATAACGAGGAAGAGTTTCTCCTTGGAGGAAGATAATACTTCACCGGCAGTATCGTGAATAGCACAAGTTATACAAGTTATACAACAATAATACATCATTCCTCTAGAAAAGGACTAGAGCACCACAAAGGGCTACAGAGTCTGGCCGTCACACTTGGAACTAACGGTTCTTATGCATGATACCTGTTCCGGGAATTTCGTGTAAATATATTTTGGTCCTGTTTAGTCAGAAGAAATTTACTAAAGCAAATATCTTTACAAAAAATGAAAGAACCCTCGATTACTTCCAGGCTGTAAACTAGTACATACACTTGTTGGAATTGGTCTTCAACAACCCATTTTTCTCGTAAAAGGCTAACTAATGGGATCGGGTGGTCAGGCTCGCTGACCTGATTGACATATGTCATCGTATCCCAGTTGCGTAGATAGATGCTTATGCTGATTGATGACTGGATTGTCTGGACCAGACTTGATTATTTACAGGACACCGCCATACAGGTGTGCTATTGCTGAGTGTGGCGTTAAACAATAACAAAACAACACACAATACATTTACAGACATACAAAATATTGTCCACAGCAACATTCAAAACAAAAGGGACACGAAAACTCTGGACACGAATGATGATGCTTCTACTATGTTCTTATATTTGGCGAATGAACTTTAGCTGAGTGGGCGTCCAATAATGATCACGATATTTTTCAAAACTAAATTGACTTAAAAATCAGAGATTTCTGTCCATACAGACATTTATTCAAAATAGCATACCACAAACATATGGCTTGTAAAATGGATATTTCAATAGTGTGGCGACGCTCTGATGAGGTCGCACAGAGCTTTCGCGTGACAGTCAGCGTTGTTTATCTCGTTCTCGGCTCTGAGGGTGTAGTTGGACCGAATCTTTCCCATCATGACTCCGTCAGCAATGAGGGCCGCGAGGGTGTTGAGAGCCTCACTGCTGGGGACTCGCGTCCTGAAGCTGCCGATCATGCCGATACCTGGGTAGATAAGATACAATGGACATGTCAAATGTGCTTGGGAGAAAGTGGTTATCGATGTAGCCCTGGATGACTTACCAAGAACAAAAGTGTTGTAGCTCAGGATGTGCAACTGTCCTGTCACTGATTTACACAGACCAACGCTGTTGTACATAGTCCCGGGTGTGAGCTTCTGTCTTGTAAAGATTTACCCTGACCAACACTGTTGTAGCCCTGGGTGTGAGACCCAGTCGATGCAGACCTGTCACTGACTTCCCCAGACCAACACTGTTGTAGCCTCTGCTTTGAGCTCCTGTCCAGTCACTGTCTTACCCACACCAGCCTTGTTGTAGCCCCTGGTTTTAGCCCCTGTCCAGTCATTGACTTCCCCAGACCAACACTGTTGTTGCCTCTGCTTTGAGCCCATATCAAGTCACTGTCTTACCCACACCAGACTTGTTGTAGCCCCTGGTTTTAGCCCCTGTCCAGTCACTGACTTACTCAGACCATCACTGTTGTAGCCTCTGGGTTGAGCCCATGTCCAGTCACTGTTTTACCCACACCAGCCTTGTTGTAGCCCTGGTTTTAGACCCTGTCCAGTCACTGACCTACTCAGACCATCACTGTTGTAGCCCAGGGTGAGCTCATGTCCAGTCACTGTCTTACCCAGGCCACCACTGTTGTAGCCCCTGGTTGGAGCCCCTGACCTGTCACTGTCTTACCCAGACCATCACTGTTGTAGCCCCTGGTTGGAGCCCCTGTCCTATCACTGTCTTACCCAGACCATCACTGTTGTCGCCCCTGGTTTGAGCCCCTGTCCAGTCACTGTCTTACCCAGACCAACGCTGTTGTAGCCCCAGGGTGTGAGTCTCTGTGATCTCACTAGCCTACATGATCAACGCTGTTGTAGCCCAGGGTGTGAGTCTCTGTGATCTCACTAACCTACATGATCAACGCTGTTGTAGCCCCAGGGTGTGAGTCTCTGTGATGTCACTAACCTACATGATCAACGCTGTTGTAGCCCAGGGTGTGAGTCTCTGTGATGTCACTAACCTACATGATCAACGCTGTTGTAGCCCCAGGCTGTGAGTCTCTGTGATGTCACTAACCTACATGATCAACGCTGTTGTAGCCCCAGGCTGTGAGTCTCTGTGATGTCACTAACCTACATGATCAACGCTGTTGTAACCCCGGACCTGAAACCCTGTCCTGTCACCAACTCACCCACACTTTTGCTGTTGTAGCCCATGGTGTGACCTCCAATCGTGTTCCAGCCGCGACCCTCGTAGACGTAGCCGTCCTCGCCTATGAGGAAGTTGTAGCCGATGTCGTACCAGCCTGAAGTGTAACCACAGATGCAGTTTGAACATGAACATCCAAGCTATTCATCGTTGACTACATCTAAGTACAAGGGTTTCTAGGACTTCAGTCCTGTCCCACAGCGAAACACATGTCATATATATAGTCTCATCTAAGGCAAGTGAGTTTGTTCCAAATTGCCACTGTTCGCCCATCAAAAAATGGGTACCCGGTGGGATGAGTCATGTAGTTATTAACCTTCTAGCGCCTAACAGGCAGCATGGGTTATCCGGGATAATAATGTTCCAGATTGTGCGATTGTTAGAGCTATGAGCATATTTGGTGTGGAGTTTGGCGCTATAATGGTCACATTATTACTATATATTTTTTATAATGATATGCCTATAGCTTATGTGTTAGCTGTAAACGGGACATGAAAATGAAATTTGGTAAAAGATTTGTTTTTATGTTCAGGTTTGTGTTTCATTTGCACTCAGTCTGATAAGCTGGAGAAAACATAGGCAACAGAGAAGGGATCCATATGCATGTGTACCTATGTTCACGTACACATCGTCACTTGTGTCACTGTAGCTGACCGGACCGCCTCCGTGGTGTAGTGGTTAGAGCGTCCGCCCGGGGAGCGGAACGTCGCGGGTTTGATCCCGGACCGCGTCAAACCAAAAAGACGTTAATATATGGTACTTGTTGGTCCCTGCCTGGCGCTCGGCATTAATGGGTACAAGGACTGGTCGGCTCGGAGTCAGTATAATGTGTCTGAGTGGGGTATTAATGCTTCACTTCATGGCATCTCAGTGGGGTAGCACTATAAAACCAGCTTAAGTATGGGCTAGTACAAACAGCCGCACAAACACATACACACGCATGCACGTCGTCATATGAGCGAAATATTCTCAAGCACAACGTTAAACCAAATTTCACCTAACCTCACCTGTAGCTGACCGCGTGTCTGGACTCTCAGGCACTCACACCCCAACTACCTTCACCTACCCCTCGCTCACTCACTCACTCACTCATCCATCCAACACACCTGTATCTCACTTACGGCTGGGTATCTCAGTGGGTTAGCACTATAAAACCAGTTTAAGTCTGGGCTAGTACAAACAGCTGCACATACACATACATATGCATGCACGTCGTCATATGAGCGAAAGATTCTCAAGCACAACGTTAAACCCAATTTCACCTCACCTCACCTCACCTGACCCCGTGTCTGGACTCTCAGGCACTCACACCCTCACCACCTTCACCCACCCCCTTGTTCACTCACTCACTCACTCATCCATCCAACACACCTGTTTCTCACTCACTCACCAAACGTGTTCATATGCTGATCCTGTATGCTTTTGACAAGGGCGGAGCATGAGATCTGAGTGAAACAGGCTTCTCCTATTGTATCGCGGATGAAGACGTATTCCACAGCCCTGGCAAGCTCTGCTTGACCCACTGGGCTAGAGGCCCCCCACTGGGACCTGGAGATGAGGCAGTAATAACCTATAAAGAAGAACATCTGTACGACAAGATAGGACTTCAAAGTCAGTCATCTTTCCCTTTATGTCGATAAAAATTGAAATAGACCCTTTTTTGTATTTACATATCAAAACTTTTGAGCAAATAGAGCATGCTCTTTATTCGAAACATTGTAAGAGCAATATATATAACACTCGCATTGTAAGAGCAATATATATAACACTCGCATTGTAAGAGCAATATATATAACACTCGCATTGTAAGAGCAATATATATAACACTCGCATTGTAAGAGCAATATATATAACACTCGCATTGTAAGAGTAATATATATAACACTCGCATTGTAAGAGCAATATATATAACACTCGCATTGTAAGAGCAATATATATAACACTTGCATTGTAAGAGCAATATATATAACACTTGCATTGTAAGAGCAATATATATAACACTCGCATTGTAAGAGCAATATATATAACACTCGCATTGTAAGAGCAATATATATAACACTCGCATTGTAAGAGCAATATATATAACACTCGCATTGTAAGAGCAATATATATAACACTCGCATTGTAAGAGCAATATATATAACACTCGCATTGTAAGAACAATATATATAACACTCGCATTGTAAGAGCAATATATATAACACTCGCATTGTAAGAGCAATATATATATCACTTGCATTGTAAGAGCAATATATATAACACTTGCATTGTAAGAGCAATATATATAACACTCGCATTGTAAGAGCAATATATATAACACTCGCATTGTAAGAACAATATATATAACACTCGCATTGTAAGAGCAATATATATAACACTCGCATTGTAAGAGCAATATATATAACACTCGCATTGTAAGAGCAATATATATATCACTTGCATTGTAAGAGCAATATATATAACACTTGCATTGTAAGAGCAATATATATAACACTCGCATTGTAAGAGCAATATATATAACACTCGCATTGTAAGAGCAATATATATAACACTCGCATTGTAAGAGCAATATATATAACACTCGCATTGTAAGAGCAATATATATAACACTCGCATTGTAAGAGCAATATATATAACACTCGCATTGTAAAAGCAATATATATAACACTCGCATTGTAAGAGCAATATATATAACACTCGCATTGTAAGAGCAATATATATAACACTCGCATTGTAAGAGCAAAATATATAACACTCGCATTGTAAGAGCAATATATATAACACTCGCATTGTAAGAGCAATATATATAACACTTGCTCAAAATTTGTTTGACCAGGATGATAATTTTTGTACCATTACCACGATACCATTTTCAAGGAATTTTCCTAATTTATTTACATAAATTCACCAGTGTCTGTTCTTCATTTTTTTGTTAAAGCTTGGCGGGTTCACAAGTCTAGCTGTTCTGACAGAGATCAAAATCAAGGATTACCTTGACTCACAAATATTCATGAGCATGACACCTGACCTGCTTTAAACAACGTATCGTGGCGAGGTGAGCGTTGACTGAGGTTATGATTGAATATAAAAAACCAATACTGATGAAGGATACACTACGGAAAATAAATGTAGATGAAGCGAAGTAGCTTTTACCTGAAGTGTTGGAATTATCCGGACATGTCCGAATGTTTACGTTGCCTTCCGAAATCCACCCGTTCTGTAATGGGGTATGACGTTACAGATTTTAAACAAATATCAGTTGACATAACATCAACACTGATTACCCGCAAAAGTATTTCTGGATTTAAAGGCAAAAGTTCTCAACACAAGTATATACCGACCGCTCCATCACCACTTAAGAGTTCAACGTCTACTTCTCTTGGGAAAATGTTTGCAGAACCCGTTCATGTGTCAAGGAGATATATATCTCAGTAACAAATATCATGCAGATATTAAAGTGAAAATCGGAAAACCAAGTTCTGTGAATTGTCAACTTCTTTGTTGCAAAGCATGCGACCTTTGATATGTATGTACTGACATCGTTGTCGAAAACCTACACCGAAACGTCGCACTCTTTGCAATAAAGAAGCTGACCATGAAAGAACTTTACAACTTCAAAAAATGCTTCTCAAAGAAAAGTTTAGAGAAAATTTATGTTACACTGAAATGTAAACGCATTTCGTAAGATTTTGGCACTCTTGAGGAAGTTAGAAAGTTGAGACTGCATGCTTTTTTTAAGAGTACGTGAGAAATATAATAGTCTTTGACGTTTACCTTTCATTGTGTGAGAAAAATCAATAGTCTTTGACGTTTACCCTTTATTGTGTCAGAAAAAAACCGATAGTCTTTGACGTTTACCCTTTATTGTGTGAGAAAAAAACAATAGTCTTTGACGTTTACCCTTTACCATTTGACAAAGATATGAATTTGATGTGTACTTATATTCCTCCTATTGGTTCAACGTACTATAAGCATGTGAATCACAAATGTAATATTGAACAACTGGAGCAATATCTGCTAGCGAATCTCCATGACTTCGCTGAATGTCACACTGTTATCTGTGGTGATCTGAATGCCCGTACAGGTAAACAGAACAATGTGTCTCCTAGTCTTGATGATGATAATATGAATCATATATTCCAAGCGAGCGCTGATGATGACCACTATCATATTGATGATCGTAATTCTCACGACACTGTTGTTAATAATTTTGGTAATCTGTTATTAGATTTATGCTATACCTTCAACCTGTTCATTGCGAACGGTAGAGTGTATGGAGACTCGCAAGGGGAATATACGTTTCATGGGCAACAGGGATCAAGTGTCAATGACTATTTTATTGGTTCACCAGACTTTTTCCAATTTATTAACTTGTTGAATATTGGAGACAGAGTAGACTCTGATCATTTACCATTAGAACTGACTTGTCAATTTCCAAATATGAACAACTCAAGTGATAAAAACCATTTTGATGATTATAAAGAAAAGATTGTTTGGAACGACGCCTGTTGCGAAATATGTTTAGATAATTTGAAAAGTAAGACTTCATTTTATAACGATCGTCTCTTATCGAAACTTGAGTTCGATCTAAACGGAGCTTTAGATGAATTTGTCCATGTCATATTAGATTCAGCAGATTGTATGAAGAAAAAGACTAGGCCGTTTAAGCAAAACTATAAAACACCCTTAAGTGACGAGTGTAAATCTGCGCGACGAGACACGCGCAAAGCACTTAGAAGTTTTCGGTGTAGACTCTCAGAGAGAAACAGAAATTATTTTTGTAAAATGAGAAACAAATACAAAGCTTTATGTAGAAAATTATTCAAATCTAACCTGCGTAATCAAAGATTGAACAGATTGAATGGTTCTATTCACAATCCTGCTATGTTCTGGAAACAAATTCGTTCATTTAGAAAGAGATCAAATCCTAAAAGTAATATTTCAAAATGTGAATGGATGACACATTTCAAGACAGTTTTTTCTAATGATGCTGTTTTTTCAAGCGATGGTTATTCCTTCGACGATGATATTATCTCTTCGAATGACTATGACACTGTTGATCAAATGATTTTGGAAACACAAATTTCAGTAGATGAGATAAAGAATGCTATAAATAACTTAAAGAGCGGAAAAGCAGCTGGTCCCGACAATATTATAATCGAAATGATTAAATGTTCTCAAATCGAGTTAATGCCCTTCCTCCATATGTGTTTTAATACTGTATTTGAAAGTGGTTCGTTTCCAGAAAGCTGGTCTCGTTCAATTATCGTCCCTATACATAAAAAGGGGGCTCAGGACAATCCAGATGATTACAGAGGCATATCTTTAATGAGTGTTATTGGGAAAATATTTACAACTGTTTTAAACAACAGAATCTCAAACTGGTCAAATCTAAGAAACTTAATTCCTGAATGTCAGACAGCTTTTAGAAAAGATTATTCAACTACTGACCATATCTTTGCACTATATGCAATAATACAAAAGTGTCTATCACGTAATAAACACAAACTTTATGTAGCATTAGTTGACTTTAAGAAAGCTTTTGACACTGTGGATCGTTGTAAATTATGGCACTGCTTACGAAAGTCTGGTTTACAAGGGAAAATGTATTCTATTTTAAAATATATGTACTTGAATATTAAATCATGTGTTCGTTGTGGTGATGATTCCACTGATTTTTCGACTGTCCCATGGGAGTTCAGCAAGGGTGTATTTTAAGCCCTGTATTGTTTTCCTTCTTTATAAGCGAACTGCATTATGATATTTCCAATGCAGGTAAACATGGTGTGCAAATGTTTCCAGATATGATTGAAATTTTTATCCTCCGTTTTGCCGATGATGAAATTTTAGTGTCAGATACTATCGTTGGTCTACAAAACCAACTGAATATTTTGGAACGTTACACAAATGAATGGAAATTATTTGTTAATTTTGGAAAAACAAACATAGTTATCTTTAGAAGAGGTGGGCCTGTCGCCTCTAAAGAAAAATGGTTCTTGAGTGGCAAAAATGTATCTATTGTTAATCAGTATACCTACCTCGGGCTATTGTTTTCCCATATCATGAACTTTAAAAAGAGTGTTATAGACCTGAACTCACGTGCTAAGAAGGCTCTTATTAATGTTATGTCCGTTTCCCAGAATTTTGGAATTTTAACCCCGAAAATATATTTTAAATTGTTTGATGCACAAATCCAACCGATTATGCTTTATGGGTCTGAAATTTGGGGATTTCAACGTCATGAATGTCTAGAAAAACTACACCTTTTAGCATGTAAAAGGTTTTTAAATGTAGCGCAAGCAGCACCAACTTGTATGGTTTATGGAGAATGTGGTAGATATCCGATATATATAAATTCACAAATCAGATGTTTAAAATATTGGTTAAAGATCCTTGGAATGCACGAACAAAGAATCCCCAAACTAGCTTATAACATGCTTGTACATTTAGATGTGTGTGAGTGAGTTAAGATTTAAAGTCACATCGGCAATATTTCAGCCATATCGTGACTAAAGCAAGTTATAAATATATCAACAATTTAAGTGAAATTATAAAATTCTGCCAACGAAGGACAGTAAAATAACTA